TGACTTTTGCACTGCGCCACTTATGGTTGTCCTTTTGGCGATATCGCGGCGAAAGGTCAAACAACAATCGCAGTGCAAAACTAAAGTGACGCAGTGCAAACTTAAATGCGTGTGCCGCAACTCGACTTTTGCACTGTGCCACTTAACTTCTGCCAGTGCTTCTGCCCTGCGCCACTTGACTTTTGCATTGCACCACTTGACCTGTCTCTTATACACATCTAGATGTGTATAAGAGACAGATATATGCCTATCTAAATTGTCACACTTTTACATAGTTGCAGCTTGCTCCATGTTTTATTGACTATTATGTATATTTTTATGACAATTAATTCTATCTTTTTTTAAAACTAGCGCAGCGTCAGTCTCTGTACATTGAATTGGGAGAAAGATTATGAAATTGAATTTCTCTTTTCGGTTCACATTCCATTGCCTTATCAAGTTTTATGTTCTTACCTTGTCATGCAGATATCATCATTAATATAGCAAGCGTCGACGTTGCCAAAACCAGCAGGAGGAACTATAGGAGGCGGCTGAGGAGGAGCAGGAATGTAGCGTGCCGAAGTAAGGACACTGCTGTCCTGTTGAAAGGACGGTTCCGAGGATGAAATAGGGGGTAAAGCTGGTGGAGGTGGAGGTACGTCTGAAACATCAACGTTCTTTGCTGTCGGAATATCCTGCATTGCATAGTATGCTACTTTATTGTCACATATTGATTTGCCTTTATCATTATCCGCCGAATTATCTCTAGTTGCTATTGAATTCATGACCTGTTGAAAATATAAACAAGATTACGATAATAGAAAAAGTAATAACAATGATGATGATGATGCTGTTTTTATCACTTCATTTTTCGAATGCCTTTTATTGTATCAGTTGTACACCTGCCAATACCTTACATCTTCTGGCTTAATATACTGGCTCGTTTTAATTTGTAGCTGACAAAAAATACATGTCATGTATTGGTTTTGAAATGGAAATATTATGCAAATAGAAATATGGGGATTTGGTTTTTAGCGTCACATGTTTAAATGTAAAGATGCATTAAAAATATTCCCAACCAGTTCCGAGAAAAAAGTGATGTTAATACGTATAAAACGCTCACTTACTGTAATTGCACTAATTTAAATGTTCATCATATTATGCTATTGTTTTTGCCTATGGTAATACGGTAAACATAGGCCTATTCTGTAAATGGTCTTAAATATCCACATCCTACTTCCGATCGTGACCAAAATTGGAACACTTCTTTATTGAAAGATGACAAACTGTTCTTCAAATTGTCATTTTTTATCCATTGATTTTCGAGATATTCAGATCTGGGACCTAATGGCCCTCAAAATGCACACCCGAATTTGGATCATCACAAACACTTCATAAATTCTTTCCCTTGGTTAAACTTTGACTTTGATTACTAGTTTTTGAAATATCTGGTCTGGTACGTTTTCCTTTAAATGGTCCTCATATCCACACCCTATTCCGGGTCGTCACCAAAATGTAATCACCTCATCATTTGGTCTTACCTAACAATCCTTGTAACTGCCATTATTTAGATCTGTGCAAATGTTTTTGAGATATTTTGAACACAAAAAACACACAGGATTTAACTGACCCTCAAGTTTAGACCCGAATTTTCAAACACTTAATAATTCTTCACCAACACTAATAATTTCTTACTTGTAAATTGGTTAAACTTTCACAAAAATTTCATCCATATCAGTTGGTTAGTTTTTGAAATATCTTAACACTCCCTGTTATTTTCAATTACGTCTGTGCAGCCAATGCCGTAGAATTGGGACAGTCCCATACAATCTTTTTTATGGGTACAAATAATAAGTCCACATTTTTAAAAATTGGTCCAAATTATGTAATTTATGCATCAAATGGGTCTACTTTTTGAAAAATTGGTCAGGAATTCTCATATTTAGCTTAAACTGGGTAGAATGAAAGAAAATGGGTCCAGATTTTTCATATTTTTGCGTAAAATGGGTCCACATTGTTTGAATTTACACGTGGGTCCATCCTGATATTGTCTCTCACTGTTCGAAAATCCTGGCTACGGCATTGTGTGCAGCCGTTTTTGAGATATGTCGCACACAAAAACCCCAAAAAACTCGAAAACACCAAAACGTTACACACACACACACACACCCACAGACACCGTCTACACACACACACACATACAGAAAACATACGGTATATCTTCTGGCGAGGATAATAAGGATAATAATAATAATGCTAATAATAAAAGTAACAATAATAATAATAATAATAATAATAATAATAATAATAATAATAATAATAATAAAAATAATAATGCTGATGATGATGATGATAATAATAATAATAATAATAATAATAATAATACAGTAATAATTATTATTTATTCATGGCACATATATTCAAACTTTATTTCAAAAATTATATAGTTAACATACAATTTTTGTTAAAGTCTTGTGTAATATATATATCGATGATGATGATGATTATCATCATCATCATGATCATGATGGTGATAATAATAATAATAATAATAATAATAATAATAATAATAATAATAATAATAATAATGTCATTATTAATAACATCATCATCACCATCATTGTCAAAATCATCATCGTCATTATCATTGTTACTACTAGGTATTGGCAAGCACGGATATCTTACGTTTCTTTCATCCAACTTAAGTATAATACGTGAAGATATTTTAAGAGCTGTAAATATAACCACCACTTCGACGAAGGCTAGCATGATATTCACACACAATATTACCGTCATAATGTTCTATTATGAAAAAAGCAAACAAATGATGCATCAGTTGCGCAGCCAGTAGCTAGAAGAAATGGTGCCGCTGTTATCCTACCCTACCACCCCCGGCAACATCCAATATACAATCCAAATGTGAAACTACAATAAATAAGAGACTTAAATGGCTAAAATAAGAGATCTTTTAAATGGCTAAAATTCCAAAGCTTCCAAAGCCCCCTTCCCACCCACCCCAATAGGTAAAGGAACGAACCCCATTAAACTTAACAACCGACTAACCAGAACAGGGTCAAGAATCGCGCTTGTCCCGCACAATAGGTCTACGTGTATGGAACGCCAGGAGGACAAACCACAAGTGGCGCAGTGCAAAAGTCAAGTGGCATACAGTGCAAAAATCGAGTGACGCAGTGCAAAACTAAAATGGCGTAGTGCAAAACTAAAGTGGCACACTGCAAACCCAAATGTGTGTGCCGCCACTAGACTTTTGCACTGCGCCACTTGACTTTTGCACTGTGCCACAGTGACGTTTGCACTGCCACTTGACTTTTGCACTGCGCCACTTATGGTTGTCCTTTTGGCGATATCGCGGCGAAAGGTCAAACAACAATCGCAGTGCAAAACTAAAGTGACGCAGTGCAAACTTAAATGCGTGTGCCGCAACTCGACTTTTGCACTGTGCCACTTAACTTCTGCCAGTGCTTCTGCCCTGCGCCACTTGACTTTTGCATTGCACCACTTGACTTTTGACGATATTATATGGAACGCCAATTTGGCATCAAAATAAAAATAAACTCATTATTACTGTACAGTATTATTATTATTATTATTATTATTATTATTATTATTATTATTACTGTTATTATTATTATTATTATTATTATTATTATTATTATTATTATTATTATAACTCGAAAAAATGCCGCCTTCGTCGGCCTTTCGCGAGGCTGGCTTGACTTTTGCACTGCGCCACTTTGTCCTTTTGGCGTTTCATATACGTGTTGTTCCCACGTCAACGTTTACGCAATCGCTTTGCGGGACATCACCAATAAGGGGGTTTAGAGGAAATGTCAATAATTAAATAACTGTACCTCGCAAGTTTCGATGTTCTTCTCGCAATTGTACTTTTCTTTGTTTATTATTGCCAGCACAGAAAGTAGCATCATCGGCAAGGCACAGAAAAATGACAACACAAGATTTATCATGTAAACAATATTCTGTGTTGTTGATAAATCAAAAAGAAAGATATGACATTAAAAATAATGACATGGCAATAACATGAAGGAAAATGCCTAAACTAAGAAAAGAAAATCAGTATTTGATTTGTCAATTATATTGAATAGACCGGCCTTTGTATCTCATAACTGGTAATTAATTTACAGGATAAGATCTGTAACGAAAGCGTGTTACAAACTGTTGGTAATAAGTAGGCCCGATGCTAATAGTGATCTCTATATTATAGGCCTAACTTAGTTGATAAATTTCATTTATTTATTTTTTCTTTTGGTGTGGGTTATCCCCGATTAACAGACAGCGACCCCACACAAAGCTACACCTACTCATAGGCCGACCTATCATCTTTGCAAATGATGAACGACTCCAGCTAGATGGTGGCTAATGTATTGCACTTACCCATCGTTTGTTCGAGAAGCCAAACGCCAACATCCCAAAAATAGCAGATACAAAGAACATAAAACAAAACAATGATTCCCATATAAACTGAAAGAGAGCAAAATTTAGTTCAGTCATGCAAGATGGTTAAAAATTATGATTAAAAAGTAAATGATTTAGCTAGTTTGGTTATTTTTTCCCTTTTTAATTGACCAATAAGCAATTGAAACCAGGATGTATATCTATATTTATTGCGATAAAATCTTGGCTGTAGGCCAGCTACTTGTGTCCAGACATTCTGGAATATAAAAAATATATAATTAAATAACGAATAATTGGTAATTTTTTTCATCCCCAACATTTTGTTTTACTCTGCAATTCTTGTATTTTTTATTGTATTTTTAATGTTTTTATCTTATTAACCTTTGACTGATTTCGTTGATGATTTTGTACATATATATATATATGTATATA